AAGCTCCAATTTGGATGAGCACAATATCATCTAAAAGATGTTCTAGAAAAACAGGAGTGCGATGGCATGTTTCTCTATTGTCATGGTCCATGTTGAGCAAATTGTATATTTAATAGATTTTGTATTGTACACCTATTTTTATTTAATGTTCAGGGTTGGTTGGTGCTTTTTTTGTGACCAGTATGACTGTAGTAAAGGGGAATCTTTGTGAACACGTGCATCTGCTCTCTTCTGACAAAGGTGCCCACTGGTCCTTTTCCTAAAGCAGCGATGCTCAGACAACAGAACCCTTTCCTATGGCAGAACCATAACGAATCTATCTATGTTAGCAATTGCTGCTCCACCAGGAATGGTTTTGCAGATGAAAATAATGCGAAGAACACCCACACCATTCACATTCATGGCTTTCATGCTGGGTTAGTCACAGCAGAGTCCACTAGCCCAGCATCCTTTAGCACCTGGAGCACCCAGATCACAACCCCGTTAGGCTGAGGGCCAACGCTGAGCACAAAGCAGGCTGCAGGAATCACTTGTTCTGTGCACAGACACGCTCTGTGCTCCCAGTTCTGCTGTTTTGAGCTTTGGGTGTTTGTTTGTTTGTTTTTCTTTCTTTCTTTTGTGGTTTTTATTTCGTTTTTGCTCTCTCTGAGGGCTCTATTTTGGAATGGATACCTTCCAGTTATATGCATGAATTATATTAAAAGCCAGCTGCTTGAAGTACATCCATATTAAGTTTCCCCTCTCAGAAGAATTCATGCTGACCTTTAAGTTACGTAGACAGACTTGGAGCGACTTCCATGGAATTCATTTCTCTGTCTCAGCCTTATAGAAAAATTACTTAATGTAAACTGTGGCACGTGACTAATTAACATCAGGAGCACACAGCAAAACACACAGTTGTTCAAGCTATGGTCTGTAATACCCCATCTTATCCCTGAAATGATAGGGACACTGAAGAAGCAGCTCTGGCAGAGAAGGGAACTTGGTATCTTATCCACCCCGTGGCAGTAACATTTCCAAGTAAGGAAGACAGAAAACCTTTCGATGCAAAGCAGTATGGCCATGCAGTTTACTTTATTAACTTGTTGTTGTTGTTACAAAGGAAACAGAATGTAGTGAAGTGAACAAGAAACTATCGGGGAAACAAAACTATCAGGATAGGAAATTAAGAAGTAAACTTTGTTCTATCCTCAGTAAATAATTAATTGTGTGGCTACAGACCACACTACAACAGCACTTAGAACTAAGAAAAAGGACACACAAACCAGGTCGTGAGGCTTCAGATTTTGTTGGTTCAAACATTCAGATCTCAGCATTGGAAGTGAGTTTCTGGACACCCCCCCCTGCAGGTCTTTAATATAACATTTTGAATGAAAACAGACTGTAAAAGGTGGTGGCACCCATGGGTTCCCTGGTCAAGAACCAAAAAAAAAAAGAAAAGATTAAATAAAAATGAATGAGCCACTGGTTTAACATCCAAGCATTACGATACTTGCAAGGACAGCAGAAAAGAAGAAAACTCAGGGCTTCACATTCTTATGGAAGGAGTCCCTCTGGATTTCTAGCCAGCCCGGCAGCAGCCACACGAGCAAGTGCCCCTCACCTGGCATGGGCTGTCCCCAAAATCCAACAGCCTGAAAATAAACTGAGAGAATGAACATGGGAAAAAAAAAAATGGAAGCAGCAATAGTTACACAGATTAAATATCGTCTGCTGCTTCAACTAATTCCTCTAATTTTTATTTGCATAAATTAGAAAATACACATGAAATTCCCCCTTAGCAGATTAGGTTCTACTCAGAGTGTAACGACGAATATCAAAAGGAAGACAGAGCCAAAACTTCACTTCAAAGCCTCCTTAATTTCACGTTTGATCTCTTGAAAGAAGAGCATCCATCCTGCGGTAGACTCAGGAACATGTTTTTGTCAGTTCCCTTTCTCACATTCCCTCTCAGTGCTCCAGGTGTGCACTACATGCACGCTCTCAGCAGCACTGGCAGCTCACAGTTCTGCTGGCAGCTTCCAAGAGCCCAACAAAGCCGTGACTCTCTGACACACCTCACCATCATGTTTTCCCCACCACAAATGTGATCAACAGAGCAAGAACTCCTGCTTCAGAGTGTTTCAGAGCAGTTTGTGTTTGTATACATAAACCACAAATTTCAACAACCAGCAATGACAGCAAAATGCATTCTAAGAACCAGAGTCAGGGAAAAACAGCTAAGAGGAAGTTAGCCCAGCTCTTCTGAACTCACTTCCACATCCATATTTCTCAGGGCCCATCTTTGGTACTTTTCCACTGACAATTTTCGACTCCAAATCCCCTTTCTGACAAATTTCCTATCGTGGCAAAACACAACTGAATTCTGTGCCCTCTCTCTCAGCACCATTTGATTTCAATGCACAATTACTATGGACATTTCCTCTTCCCTTTGGTATCAAAGACAGGACGAATCTGAAACAACTTTGGAAATAGCAAAACCTCCCCACCCTCGAAGGTGCCCAATGTCAGCTTTCAGTCTAGCAGGAGCTTTAGCAGCACTCTTTAAAACAGAGCTAGAACAGCTTCTTACAATGGAAACTCTGACAAACCAAGAACTATACCTGTACCCGGAGCTGTCACTGTAACAGTCTTTGCTTTCCCTCGTGTCATAGTGAAATTTCCATTATGCCTTCATTTGCCCTTCTTTTCTATAAAGGCAGAAGATTAAGATTGCCCAGGGAGGTTGTGGATGCCCCGTCCTTGGATGTGTTTAAGGCCAGGTTGGACGGGGTCCTGGGCAACCTGATCTGAATGTGGATGTTTGGTGGCCCTGCTAGGCAGGGGGGCTGGAACTACATGATCCTTGAGGTCCCTTCCAACCCGGGTGATTCTGTGATTAAAAAACTAGGGTGTTGTTTCTTTAATTCTTCACATTCCCAGCAGTTTCTGTCATTGCATTTGTCCTTCCAGCTTCAGCTGGTGACTTTTTAAATGAAGCTTCAGAAAGTAGAACACAAGTTGAACTCGGCTGTTTAACCTTATAACTGAGGTTCTATTTTTCAAAATTATCATCCTGAGAGTGAGTGCTCTTTGATTTTTACTACAACTAAATACAGTGAATAAAAATGTCAGCCAGCAAAACAAAACCCACACCAAACCACTACTTCCAGCTGTGGGCTCAATAATCCTTCTGAGTCCCTCCCAACTCAGGATATTCCATGATTCTACTTTAGGAATTCATTAGTTGAAATACTCCCTGGATTTATCAGTGCATCACCAATAACCTCCTAGAAACTATCACACAGCTTGGAATTGAAAACAGCAGTATTTCATTCACATTTTGACCGTGTACAAACACAGAACTCCAGAAACACTGGAATACGACAGCCTCCAAAGAGAGACTGCAATAATAATAATTAAAAAAAAATAATCAGCCTGCTCTATTGCTTGTTCCTGCTTGTGCTCATGCAGAGCATTTGGAGGCAAGAAGGCACAGGATTAGTTTTCATCAGACAAAACTCTCCCCAGATTGCAGCAGTTGCAATGGTAGAAGGAATTCCAGGCACAGAAGAACATGTCCTGGAAGTGCAATGCCACGCTAAATCTGTCAGGAGGAGGGCAGAACGTCAGCCTTGTGTGAATTATGAACCCTCAGACCATTTAAATACAGCTCTGATTATTTCCTGCACACCAATGGAAATCTCTAATGCACATCTAAATAATTCCTTAGCCAGAAATGGGATTCAGCTGCAAACACCACCCTCCTATGGCAGAGGATGCACGGCTCTACACAGCACTGCTGTGGTGGGACGAGCAAAGAGATGGAGGATATTCACAGAATTTGGCATTAACATTCTGGAGCTTAGACCTTGTGCACAAGGTCCACTGTAAAACCATGGCTGCATTCTTACCGTGCCTGAACAAAGCATGCAATATTTTCCCAGTATGCATCAGTAACGTCTCTCTGCAAGTCTCTACTTGAAGAAAGGAAAATATCTTGCAACATCTTTAAATGGCATCTTGTGTTTGCGTTCGGATACTCTGAGGTTTCATTTCAAGAAGTATCAACTAACATCAACGTTCATAAAAATACCACAGAATCCATCATTTCGCCAGCGAATCAGTAAATGCAGCATTCAGCAAAGTCAAATACGCTCTGAGGCATTAGCAAATAACCATTAAGAGCGCAATGAAAGAAACAGGCAGCTAATGAGAACACAAGGTACGCCTGCAGGTGGAACGTAGGGAAGGAGGTAGGAAAAGGAGAGGCACAACAAACACATGGCACAGAAAGGACAAACAGTTGGGTGTGGCTGCTTTATGATTAAATGGTCACTAATGATAAGAATTTGGCAATAGCACAGAACACAGGAGAACACACTGCTTCGTGCTCTGGGTTTCCTGCATGTTGTTATCTCCCACTGCAATAGCTTTCGGTTTCTCGAGGTTAGCAGAATTATTAAATTGGTGATTTATTTATTTTAGGTGGCATTATATGTGCCTCTTTTGGGGGGGTGAGGCGGGGGTTTATTGACTACTACTTAGCACAGAGAAATGCCACCTATCCTAAAACATAATGAAACCAAAGGTCCTCCAGACCATACAACGTATGACAATTAAAAGCAGGGACTTTGGGTTATGAAAGGAAGCCATATGACTAAAAAGTGAATCCATTTTCCAAAACGCCCACACAGACAAGAGCTTCTGATGTGAAAAACGGTCTCAGCAAAAGCTAAATTGCACAGATTATTCTCAGGAAAAGTTCGAAGCTGCTCTAAGCAGATCAGATGATATTTCTCTTTCTTAAATCTCCTCGCAGCGAACCCTCTTCCCATCATTACAGTGACTTTGATTGTTCAATGCATATGACATAAATACCAATTGTTAATTAAGCAAATAATTGTCTTTCTTTAAAAGGTGCAGAGGCAGAGCTGCTCAGGTTTTCCATGCTGACCGCTCCCCGCCGCAGGCACGCCTTGCCCACCTTCACACAGCAGCCAAAAAGCATCGAGCCTTACCTTGGCACTGGAATCCTTGTTTCCCAAATCCCCTGCGTGAAAAAAAGAAAATAAAGATCACCTGTCTCAGTATGCTTCATTCTTGCTTTGCTAATCTATAACCACATAAAATTAGTTTCTTGTTCAATTTCTTTAGATTTTACCAGGACAGCAACAGACTTAAAAATACACAACGCACACAGCCCACCCATCCCCAGGCAGAGTACAAGCACTGCCTCTGCCTATTTAATTTCAGCTTCTGGCAATTCTTTTTTATTTTTGTTATTATTTCACAAGCTATTTTTGATCTTCGTTTATCATCATCAGTGATCACTGCATAACATTTCAACTCTTTTAACACCATGCCTATACTGAACGGCGATGTAAGACAGCCCAAGCTGCAGAACCCAGAACACAAACACGACTCCATTCCTCAGCCCCATCCCAGCCTGCAGTGTCAGACGGAGGCAGATAAAGGGCTCCGTGCAGATGAGAAGGCATTGGGTGCACTCTGATGCTCTCCCAGCTCCCCGCTTCATTTCCATTACAAAACACAGTCGTACCCCCACAAATGCAGCCACGCGCTGCAGTGCCACCCTGAACCTCTGTTAACCTACAGCAAATCTCCACGCTGTTGCTTTTGTTTATTTGTTTACCTTTAAACATTCGACATCGCCTTTCCACAAAAATAAACGTTCTGAGGATCTGACCTATAAACATCTCTCTGCATCTCCCCTCTTTGTGGGATGTTTCTCAACTGGAGAGCCACACGGCCAAGAGCAAACAGCCTGGGCAGGAGGCAGGCAGCTTGAGTTAATGCAGAGTTTCACTGGGAACACTGCAGAAGTGATCTGAAAAAATGATTTATTTTTTTTTTTAATTTAGAGAAGGGACAAAGCCTCCAGGATGAATTCACATCAGGTGGGGAGGGACTCTGTACAACTTGCAGCATTTTTTCTGTATTTCTACTGAAAAGCATTCTCCCTGCTATCGACATATGCAGGCCCAAGCTAAGAAGCCCAGAAGAGATATGCAATTGTGTGCTAGCTTGGCAGAATGTGACCCTATGTAATGTCATTCTGTCACAACTATTGCTTCACAAAACCAGAAAGCACACAAGTGTGCAAATGTGACTGTGGGAAAGCTGAGAACAGGATTAAGGACACAAAATGGGCTTTTTGGTTTTATTTTCTCATCTTTTTGAACAGCCACACAGCAAAGGCCACCGCTCTGCTGCCTACCCCAGGGCACAGCCATTCCTTCTGGGCTGAGCTGAGCGCATTCAGCAGCACAGGAAGGCAGCACCACCCCATGCTCTGATCAGCGCATTTTAAGGAAGAGGTCTTCCAAATCCATCAGAGCTCAGAAGCAAAGCAGAGAGGTGAATGTTGTCTAAGAAGGTAAGGAAGGCTGTGTTATTTAAGGCTGTGTTACCCAGACGAGTCTAATCTAAGTAGAAGATCTATTTGCTCGGTTCACTGAAGGTCGCTTTTGCCGTTCTTTATACCTCGAAGCAGATGTTAATAGCCACGTGTCATTCTGGAAAGAGATGAAGCATTTTTCATGGTGTGTGGCACTTATTCAAAACCTGTCTGTCTTCGTGCAAGGAAATGAAACAAGTTCTAGAGCTGTCACATGCCCATGTGCCGACTGCACTGATCTCAGCAACAAGAAAAGACCAGAGCTGCTCCCCGTGCCAACTGTCAGCTGCAGGATATCCTTTCCCTTCAGACCCATCCTGTCACCGGGTGCCTCTTAAACAGCAGCACTGAGTTTTGGTTTAACTGTGGTACTCAGCATCACAGCGCTGCGCTTCCACACCTGCCCGCACAATTCAGTCTGCTCTGAATTCATTCTGAAGTAGTTTGTGAAGGTCTCTCACTTTTCCGACAACTAGATTTGCTTCTTTTTCTTTCCAAATAGGATAATAAGTCTGCCTGTTTCCGCTGCACTCTCCTCGTTTCTATTCCCTCTCCTCACTCTGCAAATGTATGTTAAGCATTTCTCCAGCATGCAAAAGGAGGGATGCTCTGCCAGGCAGACTGTGCTCAGCACCCAGGTGAGAAGATCTGGGCGCACACCCAGCAATGAACCGCAGCCCAGTTCTCAAAAGGACAGCCGCCCTCACACCCCAGCGGATCCAGCTGCCGCCGGGCGGGTGGGGAAATCTCAGCTCCAGCTCCGGCCCCAACCCCTACCTATTCTTCTTCCCAGCCTCAGCTCCGGCCGCTGCCGCCCGCAGGGCTCTCGGGGCCGCTCAGCGTTGCTCTGTCGCCCAGAAGAGGGCACGGCAGGAGGGTTCGGTGCGTGTTTTCCCCAAGAGGCTGAGTAATGAGGGTGTTGGAGGAAGTTTTCCTCCCCTCCCTTTAGCAGGAGCCATTCCCTTGGAGAACTCTCCTCGCAGCAGGGGTGTCACCGCGCTTTCCCAGCCAGAGGAAATAAATCGAGCGCAAAGTTCCAGGCGGGGCCGCACAAGTTGTGTGCCATGGAGCTCAGCGCCCGCGAGCCGGGCCGCAAAACGCGGCCGGGGGAGGAGACGGGGCCGCGGGGCACCGCGGAGCGGGACGGGGCGGGGAGCGGCGCTCGCCCGGGGGCCGCGGCTCACCTGCCCGGAGCGGCGGCGTCGGGGGAACGGGGGCGGAGGTGGGAACCGGGGGGATCCGGGGCCGGGGGAGGAGGCGACCGCGGCGGGGAAAGGGGCGGCTCGGGGCCGTCTCTCACCAGATGAAGTCGGTGCAGTGGCTGCAGAAGGTGGGCTGCTTGAAGAAGCGCGCGATGAATTTGTGCTCCTTCACCTCGTGCACGTTCTTCTGTCTCAGGGCCCCTTTGCGAGCAAAGCGCCGCGCCGCGTCCGGGGCCGCGCCGGGCTCGGAGCCTGTGAACACGTCGGCCATGGCTCCCCGCTCTGCCCGCCGGGAGCCGCCCCGACGTCCGCCCCGTCCGGCGGCCGCCGAACCTCTGGCAACGCTGCGGCGGCGGCGGGCGCTGCCTCCCGCTCCCGAGCCTGACGTCGAAGCGGGAGGAGGAGAATCCCGGCCCCGCGTCGCCGCTCCGCCCGCGGGGCAGAGCGAGCCCCCGGCCGCGGCGGGGCGGGGCGGGCCCGGAGCCGCCTCCGGCTCCCCCCGACCTCGGCTCCCCCCGGCCCGCGGGGGCGGCACCTGCTGCGGTCGGGGCCGCGCTCCCCGCTGACACGCAGACACACAGACGCGCAGACACGCGCACGACCGCCGTACGCCACCCGGCCCTTCCGCCTCCCGCCCCTCCGCCGCCGACAGAGGAGCCGCGCGGTTCTCCCCGCTCCCCGCCCCGCAGCGCACACGCAGCCGTGCCGCCCGCTGACCTCCGGCTGCGCGGTACGTGCGGGGGAACGGCGGCCCCGCGGCAGCGCCCGCTGCGTCGGCGTTGCCATCCAGCACCCATCGCTGCGATGGGACGGGCAGGAAGCGGGCTGCCAACTCCTTTCCACTAGTTGGTGTGTGCACACGTGCACAGCCACTTCTATCCCGTTTTCGTGCCCGTGTAACGCTCTGGAAGTAACTCCTCTGCTCCTGTTCACATCACGCAGTCTCAGGACATGGAAACATTGTATGCACCCGGCACAGACATAATTTCCTACAGTAACTCCATGCATTCAGGAAAACACCACATAAAGCATGGCCGTGTGTGTCTGAAAATATTCTGCATCCCAAAGGAAACAAGTCCTAATCATTATCAACTAATAAAAATTATTACCTCATATTTTTCACATACGGAGAATGGACGCGCAGTGTCATGAGGCAGCAGTGTGCCCTGGTGGCCAGGAAGGCCAACGCTTTGGTGGGGTGCACTGCAGGCAGGGCAGGGAGGCTCCCCTGGGGGCACAGCTGGAGCCCTGTGCGGGGCTCTGGGCTCTGCAGTCCCAGGCAGAACTGCTGGAGAGAGCCCAGCAGAAGGTGCAGAGATGGTGGGGTCCTGGAGCACATGTTGATGGGGAAAGGCTGCGAGCCCTGGAGCTATTCACCTGGGGAAGGAAAGGCTGAGGGAAGTCTGAGCAGTGCCCATCAATAACTGAAGGGCTGAAGGGTTGGAGCCGGCTCTGGTGGTGCCCAACAAAAGGACACGGGGCAACGGGCACAGACCGGAACATGAGAAGTTGCACTGGGGTCCCTTCCAACCCCTACAGTTCTGTGATTCTGTGACTAAAAGTTCCTCTGCCCCACACCGTTCCACATCTGTCTGTAAGCATGCACACTATGCAGTATTTCACAAGAATGAAAGAAGGCCAATTAATTCCAATTAAGTCTCATTTGCTGACAGGAGAAGTTGAGCGCAGACATTTACCCATGCAATCATCACACGTTATCTCTCTACTCTTGCTGTGCCAGCTCGGGTTTCTGGGTGCAGCCTGGCTGAGCTGGCACAGCACAGTCTCACACCAAAGAACTGGGGACAGGGCCAGGCTTCCTTTATTCTGCACTTAAGGAATCAGCTCATGTGCCAATCAGTCCAACTACTGCCATGCGCCCTTACTTCACAGGCTCTTATTTTCCACGCTACCACGTTCAAATTTGATCTGAAATTCAATAAAATAGAAAGATTTTGTGTTTGGTTTCTACCTATTGTGCACAGATGTTTCAAAGCCCTTATTTCTGTTCAGAGAGAATAGATTTTTCTTGTCTTAATTAACTTATGCTGAAGCACGAGGAGCACTGAGAAACATTTTGTACTCTCATTAAGTATTCTATCAAGAAATATGGAATGCATTATTTGCTTTTCCTATCGTGCTGTCTTACAAACTGAGCTACTGAAACTGGAGAACCTGACTGATCAGACACACCTCCATTGCATTGGATTTAGGGGACTTCATAAATTATGCATTTCCTTAAAATCTCACAAACCTGCTGATTCATTTTGCATTCCAGTTTCTTCCCTGGGAATGGATCTGGTTGAGATTCATTCACTGAAACTCTGGCATGTGTCCCAGGCTCCTATTTCCAGCACCTGCTGATCGCCTCGTTAGGCCCCAGGGAAAAGCCACAGTTGTGACACTGAGATGACACTGGGGTCACTCCTCTGCCTCACTGCATGTCAAACCCAACCAATTTTTTGTGTATGATGAATATGGCTATTAGGCAAGGGAAAAAAGCCATTATGAGAGCATAGCAACCCTCAGATTGGGTAAAGCATTATGGCACTATAACCTTCCCTTACTGTAAGTAATGTACGACTCCCCTGACCACAGTATTTTGGATGCATCTCACTTACACAAGGCTTTAATACACAAAAATCTGTATGTATACACATCTGTGTTTGAACATCAATGTTTTTCACCACGTCCAGGAAATGTCACAGCGGTGCTATGAAGAGATGCCATGTTCCACTCGCCAGATGCTTTTGGTATATGCATCCCAACATCAGCTTTTAACAGCCTGGACATCCAATTTCCTCTGCCTGCAGGTCCTGTGGGTGCTACAGGAACTCACACTTCCTCTGTGAATTACTGAAGGAAAGCAGTCTGCCATTCTGAGTGCACACAGCACCATCAGCAGCCCCAGCTTTGCCCTTCTGCTTCGGGTAGCACTGCAGTTTGTTCCTGAGTCAGGCCATCTGGCCAAGGAGTCAGCACTGTCATCTGTGTTCAGGCATATAAGAGGTTATTAAATCAGAGCAGATTCAGAATTTCCAACTCCAAATGAGTTTATAGGATCAGCCCATAAGAAGTTTATTCATGTTTGAATATTCCTCTGCTGGAAGGGCCCGTTGGATGATGTGTCTCTGAAGATGATTGCTCTAACAAACTCAGCTCCTCCAGGGCTTTCTGTATCTGCATCAATGCCATTCCAGGTCTGTGAGTGTCCCAGAGAAAGGGCCTGGATTGTTCTGTTCTGATGTGTGCACTCTGCATCAGATCAGCTTGAAAAGCAAAGAGAACACCTTCATTACTGCCTTAGGCAGTTGTTGCTCTCTTTTATTATTTCCTGCTTCTTAGAAGTATGCAACAAAAAAAGGAATCACTTCCTGCTGTAGACCTATACGGAAGTTCACAGCCCAATTTCTCCTTACATTTCAAAACAAATTACAATCACTTCCTCTTCTCGAGAGCCATCAGAACAAGCAGTTAGATTCCTGTCCAGAAGGATGACTTCATTGCAAACTTGCTGTCTAAAAACAATCTCCTTCATTCAATCTCATCCTTCAAAAGAATTTTCACAGTCAGCTTCTGAGACATTTGTTCCTGCAGCTATTGTGGAATAACTGTTTGTCATAACAAAGTCCAAACCCATTACCAGTTTCCACTAATATCCAGGATTCGGTCAAAATTCAAAGCCAGCTTTTCCCACTTTTTTTTCCCATACAACAAACTGTTTCTCTCTTTGAAATCATCCACAACATTTAGTTTTGAAGCTCCCTTTCTCAAATCAGTAGCTGTTAATCAGTACACCATGCCCATTACTGCTACAGGTTCTCCAGCTCCTGTTAGGCGTTCAGCAGCAGCATTGTTTCTTGCTTTTATGCAGACACTTTGGCAACAATGTACCATACGTGTTTCCAAGACTTAGAAAAAAGGTAGGATGTGGCAGTGTAAATACATGCGTGAGCCTTCTTCTGTCTCCTGCTGGAGCCGTGCAGGAAGGCAGGACTATGTTCCTACCACCACAGAACAGCTGAGGTTGGAAACGAGCTCTGAAATCATCCCATCTAACCACTGACTGTCCAACCACTGACCCACCCCCACCGTGCCCGCTTTGCATCTTCCTGTACCAGCACTGCCATCTTCATCTTGGAGTCTCTCTGCATCGGTGTATGCAGGGTCTGTGTAATTCTGTGTCTTTCTGTGCTTACCCAGATTCTCTTTTCTGCCTTTCCTCCCTGAAGTTCCTGATATTGCAGGTTAGGAAATACCGGATCTGTAGACAGAGCTTATTATCAAATTATTCCATGTGACAGCTTGTTCACACATGCTAGTACTAATGTGAAAGCTTGAGTGTATGTATTGAAGCAGTCAGAAAGAAGGCTGAGCATAGGAAAACAATCTCACAAGAGATGGAATTTCACAGAATGAAATAGTGCCTAAGAGTTTGGAACAACAAAAAAAATGGCACCTGGTAACACATAGCCATTTGGAAGGGATGAAATTGCAGCTCATTGATACGCATTAGGAAAATCCTGCTTTCCTTTGTGACATGCACACAGTGCCATTATCCCAACCTGCAATTCACTGAAAGTGGTGCAAAGCCCACGTGTCACACAGAGCTGTGAGTTATCCCCACCGCACTCCATAGGACTGGAAATAAATGGCTGCTGATATACAGAACACTGAGGGTAAAATAGATCTTCATTTTTCATATCAATGTTCTCATCAGAACACTGAGTGACAACCGATTGCTTTCCTTTCTCACATCTCAGGTGCATTAGGAACATGCTGAAATATCTCCTACTTCTGGGGCTGAATCAGAGCTTGATGCTGCTACAGTCTGAAATGTGATGGTGGTCCCTTGGGACGTTTCATGGGTTTTTGTCTCTTTCTAGATTGTATAAATAAAAATTTCTGCCTCAGCTGGAGTGTTTTTTATCACCGCTGTTTTGCAGTTTGTCCTTCCCACCAGCAATCTCTCTGCAAAATTTTCAACATCGCTTCCAAAAAGTAATTCACATTCTTTTGAGTGCATCAGAACAATTCTCTCGTGTAGGCAAATTTCACTCTTCAAACGTACGCACGGAAAAAAAAGGCAGAAAGGCTCAGACTTGGAAATACAAACAAAGCACTCAAACCACATTGAAAAGAACAACCCTCTCTTGTGCCAGCCAAACAAGAGCGCCTCTATTATTGTGTTTAGAGAAACATGGCACACAGGTTCAAAGGAAACAAAGTAGGTGGTTCTTGTGATAGACAATGGGCTCCTGGAATCTTTGCCCAGCAGAAC